CACAATGTAGCATCTTAAGCGGGAGGTGTGCAAACCGCCTCTGTTGCGACGTGGTCTTGGAGCGGTCTCAAACCATGCTCGTGCAGCCCATTGGCAGGGTCGCGCGCACTGCTTCGCAACCATCGCATGGTGAAGCCTCTGAAGACTTGCGTGGCTGGAGCAGCATTACTACTCGGAATGTGCCACGTGCTTTCACAAATTAAGGCCAACCGGCACTGAAAGGCGAGTCTACAGCCTGGAGGTGCCCGTTTGGGACGAAACAGCTGATGTTCACATGAACATGTCTACCCGGTGCGCTACCGGTCTCGTCTCGGCCTTGGCGCTTCAGCCGGGCGGCTGCATTGGAGAGATTCGGAAACGAAAGTGGCGCGTGCACTTTGTGATCATGCTCAAAGAAGCATCTGCGGCAGCCAGCAGCACTAGGCCAGCACGTAATGCTTTGCAGTTGGTGCCCATGATTGAGCAGCTGCTGACCTACGCTGGCACCAAAAGAAGCACTGCCAAAGCAGCTTCTGCAACTTAGCATGTTGCCTGCATGCCCTCTGCATGTCGGATGTTCGCTTGGATGACACTGGCCAAGCTGAAACTGCAGGCAACTTGATGAACGCGCAGGCGGAGCTGCATGTTCGCATCACTGAGGGCCGGCGCAGGTCAGCAACAAAAAGCGCGCGCAGACTTTGCAGCACTTGGTGCGAAGAGGCGACCGATGCATCCCAGGCTGAGCTCTGGTAGGTCTGGAGTCTTCGGGACAGTCTTCCGCTCAGTTCTGGTAGGTCTGGAGTCGGGATTGTCTGTTGCGCGCAAAGCGCTTGGAATGCTGCGTGTCATCGCGACGCAGGCCTGGGATTGAAAGAGAGACAAGGTGTGTGCCCTCAGTGTGTTTCATTTTGAAGATCCCCCCTACCTTAAGGGGAAGCGGGGTGGGGGGTCCCCAATTCCATTTATTTAGTCTTCCCCATAGGGAAAATGGAACCACAAATGGAGATCTCCACAGGGGGGGGTGACCTCCCCCAATTCCATTTTTGACGGGGTGGGGATTTTTGAAGCCACGTCCAGCCGTTGCGACGGCGGTGCCACGAAGGCTTCCAAGCGCTTCAGAAAGCTGCACGCCGTCCAGTGCGCAAGCTCCGCTCCGCGTCACGGAAAGGGCCCGCGCACGCGCAAAGCCGCCGCGTGGTGCGGCAAGCGCGAGTTTTCCATGCGCCAGCTTCGCCCAGGCGAAGCTCCAGCTCGACTGCTGATTTGAGACCTGGCTAAGCCGAGTGATTGGAACGTGGCACAGTCCCAGCTGGAAGCTCACAAACACTTTGTAGCTGGACAAGGAACGGAACACGGTTCAGCCTCATGTACTCGCCGAATTGCTGGAGCTCTGCAACAAGTGCGCAGCAAGGCTGGAGATGCTGGAGTTTCACTGACGCCTGACATGCCCTTTGTGAGAATGATGTGCAACAGCAAAACACATCACTCAGGAGCGCACGCCCAAGACAGGTTGTACGTGATGTTCATGCCTCAGTAGTATGCAATAATTGTCTCTCTCCGAGCAACGACTGTAACCCACTGGCTGCCATCATGGTGCCGTATGCAGCCGTGCCGTTGTTGGCGTAGACCATCCTAACAGAAGCCAGCACAGTCAGCCTCACAAAGCACTCTCTGACACTGCTTTGCATGTTGCCACATGTCTGGGGTGCCTTAGGACTGGCTAGCAGCCTTACTCTCCTAGAATTCTGGGGAACCCATCACTTGGGTGCCTCCACTTTTCAGGTTCCTCCGGTTCCATGCCCGAAGTGCGCATGCCACGGCGCAGTGGAATCATGAGCTGGCGAAAGAACTCCGGCGCCACGTGCAGGAACAACGGGAAGGCTGGGAAGATCACCTCGGGCAAGAGGCTTCTCAAAATGGATCTCTGGTGGATGGCTTTAAAGGGAAACCAGAAGGAAATACGCCAAGGGTACCTAGTTTTTGACAGCCAATGAGGCTCCCAAGGGCGAAAGGGAAATGTGAATGGAGACGTGCAAATAACAGGCTCTAATCAAACTCACATTCTGCTCAGTGCTGAATCAAGGCGCATCCACAGTGGAGACATCGCCATCGGATGATATTTCCTGTCCGCACATGTTTCCCAGCTGGATTGTTTGCTTGCACTCATCTGACTGCGCTGACATGTTTGCTGTGTCCAGAACTTGAAGGGAGCTCGGTCTCGCTAGGCAAAACCAAGACGATGTCACACGAACCATGCCACTTTTGTCCATGTGGGGGCTGCGCTGGTTTCCTTTGGGTTTCACCGACTGTCGCCAGGGCGTCCACCATTTGCGTCTCAGACTGGAGCCCAAGAAGTGGTCGCTTGCTTCTGCTTTTCCGTGAAACCTCCTTAAACATAAGAAGAACAAAAACGCACCACATTTTCAGAAACACCTTCTGCTGTACGCGATTCGGCCTTCATGAAGGGCCAGGCCTCGCCTGACAGCTCCGATCGATTGGCTTGGTACAACGACAATAAACGATCGATGTCTCTCAGGTGTCCCCAAAGGATGGTGGCTCTCCTTTCGGTTTCCCGAAAAAATAGCCTGGAAAGGGTACCTCAAAACAAAAACAAACAGACACACACACACAGACACACACACACACACCGACACACACACCCACACACACCCACGCACACACACACACAGACACACACACACACACAGACACACAGACACACAGACACACACAGACACACACAGACACACACAGACACACACAGACACACACAGACACACACAGACACACACAGACACACACAGACACACACAGACACACAGACACACACAGACACACACAGACACACACAGACACACACAGACACACACAGACACACACAGACACACACAGACACACACAGACACACACAGACACACACAGACACACACAGACACACACAGACACACACAGACACACACAGACACACACAGACACACACAGACACACACAGACACACACAGACACACACAGACACACACAGAGACACACAGAGACACACAGAGACACACAGAGACACACAGAGACACACAGAGACACACAGAGACACACAGAGACACACAGAGACACACAGAGACACACAGAGACACACAGAGACACACAGAGACACAGAGACACACAGAGACACAGAGACACACAGAGACACACAGAGACACACAGAGACACACAGAGACACACAGAGACACACAGAGACACACAGAGACACACAGAGACACACAGAGACACACAGAGACACACAGAGACACACAGAGACACACAGAGACACACAGAGACACACAGAGACACACAGAGACACACAGAGACACACAGAGACACAGAGACACACAGAGACACAGAGACACACAGAGACACACAGAGACACACAGAGACACACAGAGACACACAGAGACACACAGAGACACACAGAGACACACAGAGACACACAGAGACACACAGAGACACACAGAGACACACAGAGACACACAGAGACACACAGAGACACACAGAGACACACAGAGACACACAGAGACACACAGAGACACACAGAGACACACAGAGACACACAGAGACACACAGAGACACACAGAGACACACAGAGACACACAGAGACACACACGCACGCACGCACGCACGCACGCACGCACGCACGCACGCACGCACGCACGCACGCACGCACGCACGCACGCACGCACGCACGCACGCACGCACGCACGCACGCACGCACGCACCCACACACACACACACACTTAAACTCCAGATGGAGGGTGCTAATCTTTCGAGTACAACTGATGAGTCTCGAGTACAACTGATGAGGCTCGAGTACAACTGACAAGTCTCAAGTCGGATAAGGTTCGGCTGGCAGGTCACTTGGCTTCACTCTAGTGTCGAAAACGTTACAAGGTTCAACATGAAGCACACACAGCGGCAAAAGAAGCGGCCAACTGGACTTTCATCAACATCACTTCACAAAAGCAGGTACACACGGGTGATCAATCCGTGCATCCACCATCAAGCATAGCTTCGTTGGCCAGCGTTTGCTTGATGGCCGCTGGCCCCCTGCTACTAATTGTGGTGACAGGGTATTCTGCCACTCCGCACACACACGCCCCTCAGTGAGGGGCGAGAAGTCTCTTTTTCAGCAGGAAGATCACATACTCAACTGCGTATCTCTATCGTTTACCAAAATATCCACAGCGGATCACAGCGGCGAGGAGAACGCGAAACGGCCCGAAGCCGCTCAGAAGACGGGAACGAAAGATCACCACGATGAGCATGACGGGTGTCGCCATAGAAGTCCGGAGGAAGTTGCAAAGCAGTCGAGCGATCACCGTCAGAAATATAGGGGGGGCATAGGTGAACATCTCCTCGACTCGGATTATGTCCGAATTCTACACGTCAACAAGTGATTGATCCTGGGCTTGATGAGTGGAGAAGGACTCAAAGCGAGAAAGAATGCGTTGGTAACCTTGATGCTGCCAGTCGCGAATTGTCCACGCCTGACTGTGTTCACCAGTCCCACCAATGGGATCAGTTACCCGCTTCCACTCCCGAAACGAGTTGTCTGGTAGGTCAGGTACGGCTTCTTCTGGTTGCCACAGCTGAGGTTGTCCCGGAGTATAGATCCGCACCCACTCCTGATCCTGCCAGACTGAATATTAGAGCCATGGGTGCTGCTCAGCGGTTCGGCCCGACGTCTGAGTTGCATCCTCGATGTCCATGCCGAAGTGAAAGACAGGGCGTACCGCGGGTTCCGATCCAGCTAGCAAAGAAACAGTCACCATGCACAACCATGCACAACCAGCAACTACACAAGAAAGCACGAGCATGAGAAAGCACCCTTTTGTGCCATGATCAACACGCATCAGTCTATTCATCATTTAGCTCGAAGATAGGCTTCTCCTTGGTGATGGAGCTGCATGGTTGGGTTGTAGGTAGATATGGATCAGAGACCCCAATAGACTCAGGTGGTTCAACTCCACAAGATGCACGTACTGGTTGATGCTGATGGGACGCTTGACGCGCGCGATCCGACAGTTGCTGAGAGATCCCATCTTGAAGACGAGTGAGATCCTCAGTGGAGAAAGCCGCAGCATCCGATGATCTAAGAATCGCATTCAACATTTGCGGTGACATACACAAAGCCGATGATTGCGTGGCCACGCTATGTTGATCAGTAATAGTAAAAGACATCGAATTGAAGCCGTGAACAGCTTCAGGGGCAGCGACTCGCCGGTAGCCCTCTGTGGCCCAGTCCCTTTTGTACCAAATGCTGTTGTTGGGCTGCCCGCCTTCTTGATCAAAATTTGGGACACACAACTCCTTCCACTCTCTGTATGTATGGGGCGGAGGCGGATCATCACGTTCGTCCTGTGGAGTCCATGATCCCGGATGAAAAATCTTGACCCATTGAGCATCTGGTTGTTGAGGATCCGGACACCACTCCAGCCACGGCATGACAACTCAAACCCTTGATGCAAAATCGAGAGGTGCACGGCTGCAGACTACAAGCGCTACATGTGACACAACAACAAACATGCAAGCAAACACTTTTGTAGCAAGGCGCGGCTCAGGTGTCGAAGTCACTCGCCCCAATCAAGGTAGCACTGCGAGTTTCCACCACCTGGATCTTTGGAAGAAATAGGGAGGGAAACAAGTCTCGATGCGAAGCAACCCAACGTTGTAACCATGTGCCAAGCTGAGCTTTCCAATTCCGTACATGTAGAGGTGGGAGAAGTAGTTGTGTCAAAGTGCTTGGTGATTGAAGTTGTCGTTTGTGCATTACCTGGGTGAGGAGCTTCTGTGCCTTAGAACGAAAAGGCTCGTTGACGAAGACGGAGACTCCGCCATGGTTCTGAGCCAGCTGCATGCAGACACAACGCAATACATCAACAACAATCACAAGCGTGCGCAAGAAGAGACAACATGACAAGCTCACATGCAGATTTTGTCCCGAGTCGACGCCGAACGTCACGGAGAAGGTGGGGGTCGAAACCTTTGGCCTCATAAAGGCGCTTGAGAGCGTTAAGTCCTTGCTGTTGCTGAACCGCAGGTTGTGCACCACGTATGATGAGCCAGGGGCGAGAAGACCAGGAAGAATAAGTAAACATCTGATCATTGGCACTCCGAATTCCTTTGATTTGGGAGGGATGATCAGGTAGCTGTGGTGTAATAGTTCTGGAAGAAGAATCACATCGATAGCCCAGCACTTTGTCATCATGTTGAACCTCAAGCATCACTGGTGGGCGATAAAATTCCAGGGAAAGAAAATTCATGAGCACGGGCGAGTGTGGGGCAGAATCACGAAGCAGAATGAAACGATTGTCGACGTAGCGCTCATGCCAGATCACACCGATATCGGGCATGCGAAAACGCAGAGAACACATTGTCTGGTGCCAGAAGAAATCCTCAACCGTGGCAACCAAATTGCAGAGCGGTGGCGCGGCTGGTGATCCCATAGCGACTCCCCGTTCTTGGCGGAACAAGTATCCGTTGATCTCGAAGTGACTGTTGTCAATGACAAAGTCCAGAAGGTGCCGGAGATCTTGTTCATGAAAAGTTCGAGGGATCTTTGTTTGACGGCGCCATTTTCCTTTGAACATACGGCGTCGATGATCAGACTTTACTTCGAACACTGACCATTGAGAGGATCTGCGAAGGCCAACAACTTGATCGTACCGATGGAGAAGCACTTGTAGTGCCTGGTGGAAGCGTTCCGTAGGAATGGACGTGAAGAAGCCTGACAGGTCTTGTGACACCAGGTGGATGTATTCATCGGGATCTGCCTTTGACAGCGACTCCCACAGCTGCTGGACAAGTTCTTGTACTGAAAGTTGACCTGCAATGTCGGGAAAAGTAGCTTTGGTAAGTTCAAATATGAGGGCGCCGAAGACCGTGAGGAAGGGAGCTGCCCACGTGCGAAAGAATGAAATGATGGGTCGTGCTTTCTGCCAGTCCTTGGTCGGCTTTGGAAGGATGCGAGCTGTGGGCAACGGTGCTTGAAGTCGAAGTCCCCATGCATATCGCTGACGTAGGAGGGAAGGTACCGTAGTTACCACTTCAGAGCGAAAAGATGCTGCGGATTCACGGCAAAGCGAAAAGACATCTCCCGAGCAAAAGGTCTTCCGCATCAGTATGGCAAACAGGGACGGACAAATCACATGTGCGCGGGAGGGGAAATGATCCGCGGGGATTACAACCCACGATGACAGAGAAGCCACGGTGCGCTGCAACGATGTCGATGACCAATAAGCACGATCTTGAAGGTTAGCTCGATGAGTGTCCATCAACTGAGTCAAAACCGGCTGCAGATCAACAAGAAGACTGGAACCATGCACATGCCAGCGACGAGCAAGTTTGCGAAGTTGCGTGGTGAAACGTTGATGTAACAAGTCGACATCACCGAAATACTGATCCTTCATTGATGCGGCCATGATTTCCATGTCAATGTCCGCATTGATGCG